CTTCTGTTGAAATACATTTTGTAGCAGTGCGTCACGTCAGAATATTGTTTAAAATAAAATAGTCAATCCCAGTCAAATCTAGGTCAAGGGGTCAGATTGCGTGCATATAATTATAGATGGTTAAAACAAAAAGTATTTGAACTTTTGACGGTTGTTTAACATCTATGCACGGTTACTAAACTAGTAACTGTGATCTATGAAAACCAGAAAATTGTTAGTAGTCCGATTTTTTGCACAGTCGAAAATAAAGCGGAAATTCAACAAGCGGTAGCAAAAGCGAGCGATTGAAAAGCGGAAGCGGGCGAGAGGTTGGGCGAAATGAGTTCCGTACTTCTTTGTTTGATGAAGCGATGCTGATACCACATTGTCGCCATAATGAGGCCACATTGAAGCGAAGCGATAATCGCCTAACTTTTTAATGTCGCGACATTGAAGTGATGCTGAAGCCATAACAATGCCATAATGATGCGATGCTGAAGCGAAGGTGAAGTGAAGCCAAAGCTTCGCGAGAACTTACTGTATGTGTGCCAAATTTGAATGAATAACTGACAGAGCACATCCAAGATACCGCATAAAAAAACAAAAACAAGATGCCTGCCAGTCGACCATCTTTGATCCAATTGCGAAATAAATCGTCATGGACATGTATCCTAACATGTATAATCTATGTACCAAGTTTGAATGACAACTGACAAAGCATGTCCAAAATACAAAATTTTCAAAAAACAAGATGGCTGCCAGTCGGCCATTTTGAATCGAATCGCTAAACCACTGCATGTGCATATGTCCCACATAAGGTACTAAGCCCGTGCGAAGAATGAACGGAATCGGTCCACAGGATTCTGAAATATGACTCTGGACAGACTGACGCACGGACGGACGGACAGACTCAGGATCTCACGGACGGTCGGGGACATGTATCCTAACATGTATGATCTATGTACTAAATTTGAATGAAAACTCACAAAGCATGTTCAAAATACAACATTTTCAAAAAACAAGATGGCTGCCAGTCAGCCATCTTTGATCCAATTGTGAAATAAATCGTCATGAACATGTATCCTAACATGTATAATCTATGTACCAAGCTTGAATGAAAACTGACAAAACATGTCCAAAATACAACATTTTCAAAAAGCAAGATGGCTGCCAGTCGGCCATCTTTGATCCAATTGTGAAATGAATTGTCATTGACATGTATCCTAGCATGTATGATCTATGTACCAAGTTTGAATGAAAACTGACAAAACGTGTCCAAAATACAACATTTTCAAAAAGCAAGATGGCTGCCAGTCGCCCATTTTGAATTGAATCGCTAAACCACTGCATGTGCATATGTCCCACATAAAGTACTAGGCACATGCAAAGAATGAACAGAATCCGTCCAACAGATTCTGAGATATGATTCCGGACGGACGCACGGACACATGGACGCACGGACGGACGAAGACCGAATTCTAAGTCCCCGTTTTTGGACTTCGTCCGAACGGGGACTAAAAAGCTGAATATGGCGATACTGAACATAGAAATGTTTGCGAAGCTTAGGTTTAAATACCGCATTTATCCGGGTATAAGCCCAGGGTCTTGAACATAGAAAATTGCCAAAAAGAAGGGATGGGCGTTTGCCAGGAGATCCCCGGCGAAAAAAAACGAAAATTCGCAAAAATTTACAATAGGCAGATCGAACTGCGGCAGGGAATAGAACGGCAAATAATAACATGCAACGGAAATAAATGAACAATATGCAACACTAGAAGTAAAACAAAAATAATGTATTGCTTATAATGTGACAAATAGACCAGAAATAATAAAAATCGACACTGAGAAATCATTTGAATTAGGATTTTCCCGCCAACAAACACGCCCAATACGCGGTGAACTCAAAATGAATTTAAATGTCAGGGGTTAAACTGCGTAAAATGATTTCCGGTCTCGACAAATTACGAATCAACAGTCATGCAAAATCAATAATAATTTACAAATTTACACAGTAAAATTCATAAAAATTCATAGCTGTTTGAAAAAAACTTCTCAGATCTTTATTTGTACGTTCTTTGTCATCCTTGTCAAACTCAAAACCCTCAAATGTCCAAGTCGGCGTCACTGTAGCCGTCGAACAAAATCCCTACAACTTATTCCTGAAGTTCGTCAATATCGTCCCACGCAATTTGGACTTAGCACTTTTAATCCACGGATTTTGCAGTCTGTCAGCTTGGCACTTTTCATTCATGTCTAATCATAATAAAGAGACAAGAAAAATGGGGTCGCTCTGCTGCGATGGCACACGATGCTTTTGTTTATAGTCTAGCAATCATCTTTGACCTTTATGCATCTGCTTTACTGATTGGCTAAGAATGACATCACTACTAGTATTTCATCATAAAGGTCAAATCGTGACATTGCTTTCTTAACAGACTGGACGTGGACTTGAAATAGGAAGTTTTTTTTTTTTATCCAACGACAGAAGAATAGTTTTCATGACAGAAATGCAATAGCGGTGATAAAAGATGGTAAAAAAGTTGGCAGTCTTCGGCACCACATTGCAAAAGTGCTGGCCCCAGTTATGGATTCGCAAGCTGCTACAAAATATTTATAAAGCCAAAATAACATGATTTCAACACTTCTCCCAGGTACGGGTTGCTACAATATTGCAACATTGTTTTCATTGTGGACGACGCTAAAGCCGAACGAGTGCGACACTTGCTTAGCGTCTCTCCTTATACGATTTGCTTGAATCGTTTCTAAGGATGCACAAACCAAACGGCCGGCCCTTTTTCGGGCCACGACATATTTCAAAAAGAGAACTACCGTTTCTGCTTTAATATTTATTTTTATAGACTTGCTGACTGTTATGATTCTGAAAAAAATCAGCGGTGAACGCGCTGCCCTGAAGGCAGAAAGCTGTCACAGCTATTTTGAGTTCACTCCTTGTTTTACGCAATTAACAATTTTTATAATTATCACGACAGACTTCAAGAAAGTCAACTATTAATACAACCACAGTCAACGAATAGAAAATAGTTTTTTTGTTTTGTGTAGAAAAAGACCCCCTGGGCGTGTGCCCGGATATGACCTCAACTTCTTTATTGTGTCAAAAGTGGGGGGTGGGAGTTTGTCCAGGCATGGGCTCTTACCCGGATAAGTACGGTAGTAAAAAGGGAAGGTATGGTACTTTTATATAAATATTAATATATATTGAAACATACCTTCCTCTTTACTAAACCTAAGCTACGCAAACTTGATTTAAATTCGATTAAATATATATTTATTATGAAAAAAGTTACTCTGTGTAAAGTTAAATTGAAGTCGTCACAACGTTGGTACCACACACACGCACACGCACACACATCTGAAAGCCACAAATGATTGATTAAGAATTGATGATAATAAACACAAACTTACCGTGATCGGTTTGGGGACGTACGATTTATCCATGTACTGTTTTTTCTCGTACTTGCATCTTATAAAATGCTCCAGAGAGCTGCAAGTTATTAATGTCAAGGAAATCAATAGCTTTCAAATTTTCTCGTATACATTGAAAATGTTTGAAAATTACTATGTAAACTAGTGATAACAAGTTACAGGAATACTAAGTTTTCTTTATTCTGCTATATCTGTTTTGTTCTGCGTACTGGGAAGTAACAGCTCAATGTGACAAGAGAATCTCACATAGCTCATTAATTCAGATTACAGCTTTAGGGAATCAATCAGACTCGGTACAATTTGTTAAAATGATAGTGTCAAGCTGACCCCCAACATGAAAGAGGCTTGGCAACAGAAATCGAAAATTTTTAAAACAGCTACCTTTAGTAGAATCTCACATAATTGTGTCATAAAAAAACCGGCAGACTAACAGATAATTGAATCAATCATATTACAATTTTCAGTACTTCATGCATTATGCATGAACATTGTAGACAAAGTGTCTGCCGTGAAAAAATTTGATGACTTTTTTAGCTTAAATTTCTTTTTTTTTGTATTTCAATGTCAAAATACCGATCTTTCAGAAGGGAACATTTTAAAATTCATCAAAATTGACAATCATCAAATAAGTATGTGTATATGGTATATAATCATATATTTCGCGAGACCCCAACGATGTTTTATTCCCATTACGACGCTATAGTCTTTGTCATGTTTAATCATGAGAAGTTTGAAAAAAGGTCTTTTACAACATACTAAGGGGGCGTACTACCCCGGTACTTTCATTCAAATAATCAATTTCCTTACAGAGATGGCACCTGTGTGAAAAGGATACGAATCTGACTGAGGCCTTCTGAAAGGCTGAGGTAAATTGGCTTCATAGACTTCCCTGGCTTTTCTGTTACCAACATTTTCCATACTCTGCAAGTTAAACCAGACAATAATGATCAGAGTAATGTTACGTTTCAACCCATTCATTTTTTTTTAAAAATAGACAAATTCAAATAAAAAGCATGCTTGTTTCCATGGAAACAAAGCTTTGCTTGAAATGTTGTCACTGAAGCATGGAGAAAAGAGTTGACTGCACTACGCGATGTGTTGCCCCTGGATACAAGTGTGACTTTAATGCTATTTAACATGCAAATGAAACGTTAGCATAAAACTGTAACTCTTTTGTTTGCATAATCTAATTCTATTACATCACCATTTAGAAATTAGCATAACATTAATGGTGATTTACATAAAATCTATTGTCATCAACCCCCAATTAACATTTACATATACTAGTAATTTATGTATGTAAAAGGAAGCCATTCACTCCTGATAAATGTACATAAACAATTATTTTCATTTAAATTATTTCCATTAAATTGTAAAGTAGCAGGCATTTGTGTATTCAGTTTTTTTTAAGAGCAGACTGTGGAGTGGAATAAATTAAAAATTTGATATAAATTTTTAAAAATTTTAATAAAAAAAAAAAGTTAAAAATATTAATGATCTAGAAGTCTATTCTAGCCTTAAGCCATGTAGGTTGGTGTGAAAACACAGCTGGTTTGTTACACAAACTTATCATTCATGGCATGGTTTTATGCAAGATATCAGCCTTAGCTTCATTACAACACATGGACATTGCATGAAAGAACAAATCCTAAATTAGAAGGGCATTTAATATACAGTGACTCCTCGCAAGTGTTCAATTCAAACAAAAAGCAGGACTTGGGTTGGCGACTTACCGAGGGGCTCCGTGAAGCGGGGTTTATGCATTGAAAATGGATAAAAAGCTTATACATGCATACACATATGAGTTTATAGTATGTTTATTGAAAAAACATCACAGCGTCCATGTCCAATTCAACTCATTGTGACAAGTTTCATAAAGTTATATGAAAGGCATAACGGCAAAGAAGTACTGTAGAATACTTTATTTTCGCTTGGAATTTATTTTCGCTATTTTCGCTGAAGGGATGATTCCGTGAAAATAAAATTCAGCGAATATACTTTTTTTCCTATATTTCACATTAAACTCATGAAAAATCAGTGAAAATAAATTCCAAGCAAATCGCCCAAAAAGCCTTTTCAGCGAAAATTAATTCCAGCGAAAATAAAGTATTCCACAGTATGTATAGTTGTGACTTGCACCCTCATCAACACCTTGAGTCAGACTGCCATCACCCTTACGGGGTAGTATCCTAGTAATTGACGGACAGTAGGTGTTAAGTCGTCTCCTCCAGCCCTTAGTCTAATTAACAACCAATTAAATATATGATGCAACAAAACATTAGTTCGTTTACTGTAAAACACAATAGAATTTTTGGGAGCCATCCAACTACCCAAAATTGCGACTCACTGAGGGGTCACTGTATATCATATGTTGTAGGCATTTTTAAGCGTTGCAATGCACGGATTTACACTGGCAACACTATGTCGGTGACTTGTTTGCGTCATTGCTTTAACAGGAACGATTTATGGTGAAGATGTTATTTTGGTACCAATTTTTAGTAACTTACTGACATCTGAAACATGACATCAAAAATAATTCATATTCAAGAATTTAGCTTCCCTGTAATTTGGTAATTCAAGATGTACATCTTCTGAGATTGTAAATAGATTAGCTGAACATTTGAAAAGCCATTGAATCAAATTCACCAAAATTTAATGAACGTATGAAAACTGTGCTCTCGCTGTCGCTCGCAAATGTCGTAAATTACGAAATTTTGACAAAATTTACGAACAAAATAAATATCTATTAGTAGGATTTACGAACACATTTTGTAAAAAATACCCTCGCAAATCGCGCTCATTTAATTGTCAAGACTCGACTGTGATCATCACGTGTGTTACGGTTTGAGTGATTGCCATTTTAAAGTAAACAACGTCCCGTTACTTCTAAGATTGCAACAATTGTTACATGGTGATCGCGATCAACACGGAACTGCCACTGAATGTAGTTTTCCACTCTAAAGTTATTTTGGTGTCATCGCACATGCGTAGTTTAGTCGACATGTGTTTCAAGATACCCCGCGACATTACTCTGAGTATGGAACGGTTTCATGTCGCCCTTATCAAACACGTGATTTATTTATTTATTGAAAATGGAGACTACGTCAAAAAGGAGCAGACAACTGCTCGACGACTATTTTTCACGACGAGATGGAGAAACCGCTAAATCGTGTTCAGAACCAGAAACAAATGGGTGTCCTAACCCTGACAGCACCAAGAAACTGAAAGTTGATCGTACTGCAACACGATTTCAGAATAATGGAACGTTAGCTGCGGTTCCATAGCTCTTTGGTGCGACATACAATCTAATTTTGCCCTACCAATTTCATCGGACGTCTGTTTTATTTTGTGTGTATGTCAAACATGGG